GAGTGATTCGTTGGATACTACACAATGATACCGCCTCTAGTTACGTTGTAAACGGCGGGTCGAAAATTGTGGTACGCATTAGATTCTAGATGTACTTATCCAAGCCATTTTCTCATTTATATAGAATTAATTATTCATAAATGAATTAACACTTCGTTATAAATAAGTAAATATATAAATGTCAAATATAAATAAATAAGTAAATAAATAAATAGATAAATAAATATATATATATATATATATATTTATTTATTTATTTATGCACTGATACAAATCAATAGCGTGTAATATTCATGGGACGGTACAGTGTGATATGACACCCCATATGATACGGGTATCATATTTTTGGCGCTCGCGCACACACACACAATATATATATATATATATATTCTATATTTTTGAAGATAGGCGTAGTGTGTGAATCTATCGCTTGACATGGTAACTTCACACGCATGCGCAGAACATTCCGAAGATCATTTCGTTGAAATTGCTGCCGAATAGAACTCGTTCAAGGCGACGATGACGCTGTCCTGATATTCATGGAAATATTAATTATTTAATGCCCGCCTGGACGAGCAGAGAAATTTGGGAGAAAGTATATCGTTGTTTCTTTGTGCCACCAAGCGCGCCTCGTGTAGGTTCCACCGCCACCTAGTTTCCGTCTTGTTAGGCTAATCGTGTTTTATAGATGAAGTTACGAATAAACGAGAATGTTACTAGAAGTCAATCTGCTGTCCTGCAGTCACACGTTGTTTTCCGTCCCATGCAGGTATTTAGCTTTGATGATCTGACGGGTCAAAGAGCCGTCCGGAAAAAGTCAAGTCTTCCGACATTTCTGAGGAGCGAGCGAAAAACTTTGGTGACATTTTTATAAATTTATTGAGAGGACAATAAAGTGTACTTTCGAGTGATGTGTGAATGGTTACTGGCCGGTAATTCTTTGTACATTAAGAGGAGAATTAAACATGGATTCGTTTGCTGTTAAGAAAGGACAGAAATGCATGTGCTAGTGCATGGCACTCATATACATATATAGGCGTCAAAGGCTACAATCTCACGGTAAAATTTAAAAAGCAAGATTAAAATAAGCAATGTTAAATTATATTATTTATATGAGATGAATTCCGTTCCGTATGTTACAACGCACGACCTCCCGCCCGCCCGCACGCACGCACGCACGTACGCACGCACGCCCGCACGCACGCACGCACGCACGCACGCACGCACGCACGCACACACACAAAGAGAGAGAGAGAGAGAGAGAGAGAGAGATAGAGAAAAAAGAGAGAGAGAGAGAGAGGCAGAGCGAGGCAGAGCGAGGCACACGGCAGTCAGTGTGTGTAGGCTAGGGCAGTAAGTGGCGCTGCTGATTGGAGGACGATGACGTAGTGGGCACGTGCTCGTGTTCAATCAGAGAGGCCGCTTACCAGCGGACTGATGTTGTTGATGTTCATTTTGCTGCTGTTGTTGCTGCAGTTACTACCGCTGCTACTGCTGCTACTGCTGCTACTACTGCTGCTACTGATGTTACTGCAGTTACTACTGCTGCTGCTACTGCTGCTACTACTGCTGCTGTTGTTGTTGCTTGTTGTTGTTGTTGCTGTTGTTGTTTTGTTTTTGTTGTTCCTGTAGTAGTAGTAGTAGTAGTAGTAGTAGTAGTAGTAGTAGTAATAGTTGTTGTTGTTGTTGTTGTTGTTGTTGTTGTTGTTGATGATGATGATGATGATGATGATGTTATTGTAGTTGTTGCTGCTGCTGATGCTGCTATTGCTGCTGCTACTGCTACGGTTACTAATGCTTCTATTGCTTCTGCTGCTGCTGCTGTTTTGGTTGTTTTCGTCGTCGTTGTTGTTGTTGCTGTTGTTATTGTTGTTGTTGTTGTTGTTGCTACTGCTGCTGCTGCTGCTGTTGTTGTTACTGCTGCTGCTGCTGCTGCAGTTTTTCTTCTGCACCGCCTTATTTAATGCCGTTTGAAACATTGATGATAGCCAGGCGCAAGTGTGGGCAGTAAACACCCTACTCGAATTGACATTCCTTGCTGAGTGGTTACTGGCACAAGTCTACCAAACACGCTCATAAAATCCTAAAGATTTCCCTGCAATAATATACAAGCGGTAATAGCCAATAACGGTCGCACATGGGTGTGCCGTCACTGCTATCCATCCTTCTACGTATGCTGCGTGTCCCTTGGGATTCAACTAAGATAGAATTTTTCTGTTCACCGCGTAACCAGTGATTCCTCTTTACACTTTATATACTTTTCCCTTACACGCTTTTCTTAATCAAAGCGAAGTTCTAAAACAGCACAAGTGCACAGTTGAGCTTTTACCGCCTTCTTGAAAGTGGCCGTTGAAATTAGTAGCAGTCCATGAATTACTTATTATGATTTGCTCTCACTTTTTTTTTACCTCGCGAGTTCAATTATTTTATATAGAATAACGGAGTTAACGGAAATGACAGAATGATAATATTATCAAACTTTTACCAGTAGCCGCGCATTCATAACATTGATATACGCTATCCGTTCAACAAATATCTGCCAGTTTCAAGTTAAGATGATATAAAACTGTGCACTTGAAAGACGGCATAATATGAATGCATTTGTTGTTACTGTATATTCACATCTAGCTGGCTACCGCGGCTAATGCTGTGTCATTGCATTTCCCAGCACACCGAGCACTCTATGGATCGTCTATATAAGTATACCTCCATCAGTGTTAGTCTATACTTATCCACATATAAAATACTCGCAACTGATTGCACACGAATTTACGACCGAATTCACGACGGGAATCAGGTTTCACGTGTACTATATGAACTTGATCTCTCTCTCTCTCTCTCTCTCTCTCTCTCTCTCTCTCTCTCTCTCTCTCTCCTCTATCTCTCCCTCTCTCTTCTCTCGCTCGCTCTTCCTTCTCTCTTCTCTCTCTCTCTTTCTCTCTCTCGCTTCGCTCTTTCTCTCCTCTCTCTCTCCTCTATCTCCTTCCTCTTCTCTTCTCTCGCTCCTTCCTCTTATCTCTCCCTCTCTCTCTCTCTCTCTCTCTCTCTCTCTCTCTCCCGCTCTCTCCCTCTCTCTCCTCTCTCTCTCTCTCTCTTCTTCTCTCCTCTATCTCGCCCTCTCTCTCTCTTCGCTCGCTCTCTCTCTCTCTCTCTCTCTCTCTCTCTCCTCGCTGCTCTCTCCCTCTCTCTCTCCTCATCTCTCTCTCTGCTCTCTCTCTCTCTGCTCTCTCTCCTCTATCTCTCCCTTCTCTCTCTCTCTCTCTCTCTCTCCCTCTCTCTCTCTCTCTTCTCGTCTCTCTCTCTCTCTCTCTCTTCTCTTCCTCTTCTGCTTTCCCTCATCTCTTTCCTTCTTTCTTTTTTGCCTTCCTGCTCTCTCTCTCTTGCGCGCTCTCTCTCACCTTCTCGCTTTCCGTATGTCATCCTACTTTCCTCCTCCCCTCCTTCTCTTCCCCCTCCCCATCCTTCTCCCTCCTCCCCTCATCTCACTCCTCATCCTCTTCTTCGCTCTGTGCCGCTCTATCTACATGTGTCAATCCGTCAACATTTCTCATGTACGCGTAAATATTTTCGCTGCGCTCACTTCCTCACTTCTAGCACTACGGCGTTAGATTTGTGTGTATAGGTCACGCGGGGGTACGAGAATACCCCCGTGATCATAACACACACCCACACCGCCATCCTTGTGTCTTGCTACCGCTAGATATGGTTAATTTGTAGAAACCTACACTCATGCATCCGAGGATGGTCGTTGCTAATTTGTACTACGCGGTCACTGCACGGTGTATTATAACCCGACAGCAAAGATACATTAATTCATATTATACTGTCTTATTAATGATGGTCCCCTACGTTCACTTATTCTTCCGATAGCTATCATGCCCGCAAGTGAACGCACAAGCTGCGATTAAATGTAAATCATCCGCAGATAACAAAAAGGAACGGGGTAAATTCTCATTTCGAACCTTCTCCTGAATGATAAACTCGAATTCCCAATCGTGTCATTTTCGCGTATCACTGCCACGGCGACCGCCGCCGTAATCTGTAGCTGCTTATACTAGCAGCTGTGTGACGGAACGGAACATAGCAACGCCAACCGGCCCCCGAGTTTACATGAGAAAGAAAGCGATCAGGATTCAATTAGGCTTTACTGAAAAGAGAGAAAAAATGGCCAACTCTGGATAGCTGGACGTGAATGGTTGCGACACAATTGGCAGAACGCCGTGTAAGCGGATATTATATTTACGCCGGCTCAGTGGACACCTAAAGATCTGTAATCACAAGGGACAGCCCACTTTAGGGCAGCGGAAGGTCTGTATACAGTTAGTGAGCATCGTCCTGCCCTCTCACTGCTGCTGTTCGCGGCTCCTCTTACTTATATATCACATATATACGTCATAGGTGTTCGCACCGTTACGGTTACTCAGGGTAAGCGCCTTATTATTCTATACGCGCGCGCGCGTGTGTGCGTGCGTGTGTGTGTGTGTGTGTGTGTGTGTGTGCGTGCGTGCGTGCGTGTGTGTGTGTGTGTGTGTGTGTGTGTGAGTGCGTGCGTGCGTGCGTGCGTGCGTGTGTCTGGATGAAACAGAGATGCCCTCGGCTGCTTTTGATGGGCGTACACGCGCTCGGCTAGCTATGGCGGTATCGAGGGCATTAGCAGTACACCACCGCCTCCTCCGCTGCTGCCACCGCCTCCTCCCCTGCCACCGCCTTCTCCCCTGCCACCGCCTTCTCCACCGCCACTTCTAGCTTACCGCCGCTGCCTGCTGGATGGACGAAGCAGGAACCGGTAGATTGCACGTACGGCTAAACAGAGACGCTCAGCGGAAGAGGCTGAGCATCAACAGATGAAGCTGAAGCATGCTCAGCCCTCGCTAACATCAGGGGAGTCGCCGCGGCTCGCTGATTGGCTGCGGCCGCGTTCGATTCCACTCCTCCCGCGACCCATTATGCTCGCTCGTAAATAACGCTGACTCCGAACCAACCCGCTGTCGCTGCTGCACGCGCCTGCACGCTTGCTTTCCTAACCGCGCGCGGCACTCAGATCTCATTATGTCACTTCAGATGTCGGCCGCGTAGATAGATAGCGGCAGCGCAATATACAGGAGGTGGAGTACCGGGGAGAGCGTATCAGTGTCACCCCCGCGCCAGATTGTCAATGTGCGGTTGTCACCTCTCGTGGTCGCTCGTCACACGCTCGCGACGCGGGGCGACGCGTACGTCATTGGATCAATAGCCGTCTGCGCCAATTACAAGCGGCGTATTGACTCAATAGTTGTGTAATTTCGGCGAGCGCGGCACGGGTGTACGTCGGTGCTTTGTCAACAGTAGCGGGCGCCGTGCGCAAGGGAGGCAGAAGATATGTGATACAGCCCGCTGGCAGACATACACGCACGCACGCACGCACACGCGCACGCACGCACGCGCGCACCGATACCCGTGCGCGTCCCCAGCACGGCGTCAGTGCGCAACCAGCTACCGTCGGCGACAGATTTTCGTGTTCGCTTCGCGGCGACAGTTGCTACTTCGACGAGAATTCCCGCGTCGGCAAGCGTTCCTGCGTCGGCAAGAATTCCTGCGTCGGCAAGCGGTCTGCGACGGCGACGCATTCAACGTCATCTCGACGCTGACTAACTACGTCGCTTGCGACACCGGACAGAGAGCGGCGGTGACGGTGGTGACACTCCTGTCTCTCCGTCGATCAGGCGACGACCGTCGGAAACGCAAACGGGCCACAATTGAACTGGTTAGCGATCCGAAGCGACAAACAGTTAAAGACTGCGACCGCACACGTCTTCCCCGTCGACGGACGTAGAAAGACACAGAGAGAACGAGGAAACGGGAAGGGAGAGCGAGAGAAGGGAGAGAGAGAAAGAGAGCGAGAGAGAGAGAGAGAGAGAGAGGGGGGTAAGGACGTGTCCCGTGTGAGCACAGCTGATAAACATTGTCGCATGAGCCCTACCAGTCGCTCTCTTCCGTAGCTCAAGGACACACGCGCACGCACGCACGCACGCACGCACGCACGCACGCACGCACGCACGCATACGCGCGTACGTGTACCGACGCAAGATGGAGACGTCGGAGGACGAGGTCGTGTCGGCCGGCGTGCTACGTCACGCACGCAACGTCGGCGTCGCGATGGAGACGACGACGACGACGACGATGACGACGCCGACACTAAAATCACGGAAGCCGACAGGCGGCAACAACAACATCAACAACAACATCAACAACAACATCATCAACAACAACATCAACAACGTCGCAGCAGCGCGACGTAAGGTGAACAACATTGAGGCCGAGAAGCTGAAATCTCGCGCGAAAGACGTCGCTGCCGACGGCAGAGAGACGGCCGGTAACGTCGCCGACGAGCCGACGACAAACTCCAGCGACTCGTGGGCGACGGACGGCGGCAGCGTCCCGGGTTCGCGCAACAGTCCGCCGCAGCACCGGGACTCGAACCACCACTGCCAGCAAGTGAAAGCCGGTAAGCGACAGCGCTGCGATGACGATGGCAGCGGCGGCGGCGGCGACGACGTTGACGATGACGACGCGTCGAGGAAGCGGCGAGCGTCGCCCGTCGTACTGCGCGAACCACAACAGCAGCAGTCGGAGGTCAGGACTACGGCGTTCTCTGTGAACGACATACTTGACCCGCAGAAGTTCACCGGTTCGCGTCCTGGTACCGACTCGAGTGTCTGGCATCCGTGGAACGAAGACCCTTCTATCCAACACGACACATGCGGGGAGCGACTCCTCGAAGCCCGTAAGTCTTCTTCCCCTTTCTTCCTAGCTTTACCGCGTTATTGGCACTAATTGAGCGAAAGCGTTGCGCGCCTAATGACCGCATTGTGTTCGCTAAAGAGAGGAAATTGGAACGAGAGAAAAACCGCTTTCGCGTCCGCATCGAACGCAGGCACCGAAACACAGCGGAAAATGTTTAGGATAATCGCGAGAAATTATATTGAACTCATGCTCGATTAGCAAGCAGTTCATATAAGTAGCAGAATGAGAAGGTTGTGTTATATGTATTATTTTGACGTATATAGCGAAGGAAGCGGATACACGTGAATGTAGTAGATATATATACAGTGGAACGAAAGGGGTTTACCGTATACGTAATTGTCGTTTACATAGTAGAGTGAGTGGCTTATACCGTACATGTAATTATAGTATATATAGTGAAGTGAGAGGGGTGTACCGTCTATGTAATTATAGTATATACATAGTAGAGTAAATATGTAATTATAGTATATGTATATAGGACAGTATATATGTAATTATAGTATATATAGTGAAGTGAAAGGGGTGTACCGTCGATGTAATTATAGTATATATATATATAGTAGAGTATATATGTAATTATAGTATATATAGTAAAGTGAGAGGGGTGTACCGTCGATGTAATTATAGTATATATATATAGTAGATCATATTTGCAATTAAAGTATATGTACATAGGAGAGTATATATGTAATTATAGTATATATAGTAGAGTGACGGGGGTGTATACCGTCCAGGTAATTATAGTATATATATATAGTAGAGTATATATGTAATTATAGTATATATTATATATAGTGGAGTATATATATATAATTATAGTATATATAGTAGAGTGACGGGGGTGTATACCGTCGATGTAATTATAATTTATATAGTGTAGTGAGGTGATGACAGCATACGTATGTTAGTTACGTGTGACTTGCTTTCACGGGGGAGTCATAGTAACAGTGACGCTGTCGAAGGCAATCGAACATTGCTGGTCGGTAAACGTTCATGGTATATATATATATATATATATATATATATATATATATATATATATATATATATATATACTACTTTAACTTACTTACTACTACGTACTACTACGTACGTACGTGTCGTCGTACGTAGTACTACGTACGTACTACTAACGTACGTAACGTAACTATACTA